TAAGCCAAGGTTCTGCTGCCTGAGTGGCATTGCCTCACGCCGGTCTGAAACATGCCACTCCCCGGGAGCAAAAATAAAGTGAGAAGCAAGACTCTGATGAGAGAAGCTCTCCCGAGCGATATGACAGTGCCCCGCCACGGCCTTGAAAGGCCGTAACACAGCACTGGGAATGCCATGGGGCCGGGAGGGCCTGTGGCCACTCTCCGGAGCGGGAGTCCCAAGTGTCGGAAAACACAGAACCCGCACGCTCAGAGCTCCGTCTCCCGGGGCATCTGAGGTTTTACGTGACCTTTACCGTCCATGTTTCTTAGTGTAGTCTGTTGTTAACCTGACCGTCTGTGATTCCTTTGCACTGCTCTCTGGAAGCCTGAACACGACCAACCTGAGGACAGAGACAAACACGCCAGTGCGCGCATTTGGGGCAGGACGCCACGTGAGGCGAGGGACGCTGGAAATCTGTGCCGCACGCGGTACCGGTCGCTGGGCAACCTGACGCCACGCCAGCTTTGTAGACTTTCACAGAGCCCGTGGGGAACCTGTGCTGAGCGTCTCAGGTATGGGGGAGGGAGATGGTGAAAGTGGAATGATCACCAAGCATCGCTCTTGGGAATATTATGTTTTGGAAGTTAAACATTATATATGTGAAAAAAAAATAGATCTAAGGTAATAAATATCCAATCAGGAGTTTCATAGTCCAACAGCTGCCTTCACAGGGGATGTGGGAACACAGGTGGACGCCAGTGCGTGCATTTGGGGCAGGATGCCACGTGAGGCGAGGGACGCTGGAAATCTGTGTCGCACTCGGTACCGGTCGCCGGGCAACCCGACGCCACGCCAGCTGTGTAGACATTCAAGAGCCCGTGGGGAACCTGTGCTGAGCGTCTCAGGTGTGGGGGAGGGACATGGTTAAAGTGGAATGATCACCAAGCATCGCGCTTGGGAATATTATGTTTTGCAATTTAAACATTATATATGTGGGGGGAAAAATAGATCTAAGGTAATATCCAATCAGGAGTTTCATAGTACAACAGCTGCCTTCACAGGGGATGTGGGAACACAGGTGTGAGGCTGCCAGCTGGGGGTATTGTTTAACCCGTCATGACCGATTAGTTTAAAGTCTACCAGGTGAGCTTTGAAGGCGACTCTATGCGTCAAATAATGGCAGGTTGGAATAATAATGATATGTCACCTCTGTAGGCTATTCTACAGACTCTAACACTACACTCATGAACAGCGAGGCCACATGGAAGACTGCTCGACAAGGTTAAAGAGCAGCACACAGAGATATGCACAAGGTATCGTTACGATATGCAAAACGGTGTGAAGGAGAACTAGAAGGGAAAAACTAGAACAAACGATTTGTTAGGGTAGGGAAAAACTAGAACAAACGATTTGTTAGGGTAGGATTTGTTAGGGTAGGATCCTTTTCTGCTAGGATTAGAGGCAGGATTATAGCAATTTGCTTTTTATGATTTCCACTCTTATTTTCAATAATGGAAATTTTGGAAATACTACAGAAGTAGAAGAAAAAATACACATGAGAGACATCTGAGAAGGAATGCAGGCAGCAGCTGGATGCTGGGAGATAAGTTACTTCAATGATTGTAAATAATCTAATCTATTTCTCATAAAACATAAGTATAGATCAGTACCAAGTGGCTGGAGGCTTTTACCTCAATGGTAACTAAGACGTTGAAATATGTCTTTGTTTCTTGAGTGATTTTAATCCAAATGAGCAATTGTCCGTCTTCTATGACACTAACAGTTGTATTTCCACACAGGGGTCATCTAGGGTCAACATGGCTGGGGTGGTCTGAGGGGAGTGAGGGCAGGAGGGAAGGGGAGGAGAGGAGGAATACAAGTTCAACTTCTGAGGTAATCAGGGTTAGTCACACACACACACACACACACACACACACACACACACACACACACACAGTCATTTGCTCCCATAACCTCCACTCTACTTCCACCCCTCCCCACCTCCGAAGGCTTTCTGCTTCACAGGCAGTTCCAAACGTGTATCCGAGTGTGAGTCCTGCTTGTGGAAATAACTTTGGATTCACACCTGCTTGGGGTCTAATCTCGCCTCTACCACTTACTAGCTATGAGCCTTGAACACACGAGTAATCTCTCTGAAACTCAATTTCCTCACCTATGAAAAGCATAGGGCATGTGAAGACTGAGACAGTGCTGGAGTTGTAGCTGAGTGCTTGGACCCAGCAGGCATTAAATAAAGCGTGTTCTCTCTCCCATTCCCCCCTTTGCACACAGGACCCTGTGCTCACATTGGAGAGACAGTTCATGGAGAGCTGGACATGAACCCGCCTCGGCTGCAGGCTGTTCTCAGATCTTGCTCCCCCCCCTCCCCGCCCCCATAATTACCCTCCCAGGGACCAGGATCCCTGGGTCATAACAAAGACGCAGCATGAGGCCAGGCCAGACTCGTCTGCACATCGCCCGACCAGAGCGAGTTCCCCGGGGAGGCTGTCTGTAAGATATACTGAGAACTTCAGTTCTCTCTAATCTGGCTTCTGGAGCTGGTTGTCCACTACAGCAGTCAGTGGCCACATGTGGCTATTCACGTTACATTAATTAAAATTAAATACAACTGGAAATGCATCTAAAATGTCCTTCAACCACATAAACACATTCCAGATACTCAATGTGCACATGCGGCGAGTGGCTACCAAATCTGATGGCACAGACACAGGGCATTTTCATCAACCCGAGGCATTCAGGAACTGCTCCGGGGCCACCCGTGGGAACGAGAATGTCAGAGGGTTAGCGCCCAACATCTTTGTTTATTAATTTTCTTTGTAAAGACTCTCAGACCAGAAAACTCAACTCAGTGAAAGGGGCAGAAGAAAACCGTTTCTTGATTAGGGAACCTCACTAGATACAAGCATTCCAGGCACCAGCCTGAGGGACCTCAGTAGCATTCTTTCCACATTCCTCAGCCCCCTCGGAAAGAACACGTTGATAAGACATGTCACCCTTTTCTGCTAGCCATAATGCAAGCACTTAACCAGATTCTAGAACTCTCTGTGAAAGGCAGAAATCTCCGGTAGGGGTGCCGTGTACTAAAGGTTTGCTAAGCAGTCGGCAGTTTTATTTCTGAATGCAAAAAGCAGTTGACTCAAGTCGGTGCCACAAGTACCCAAGCAGTACACGTTTGTGGATGAGGGTTGGGACACCCAATTACTCACACTCTTCTACTTGTCATTATCAGTCAATTGTTAATGAAAGCCGGTCTCTCATAATCTATTCTGTCCACAGGGGGCGCTCGTGACTTAGTTACTAGTTACAGTGATGGTGAACCTTTTGGAAAACCCTAACTTAACTCTGGTGCCGTGTCACATATAGAAATTTTTTGATATTTGCAACCATAGTAAAACAAAGACTTATATTTTTGATATTTATTTTATATATTTAAATGCCATTTAACAAAGAAAAATCAACCAAAAAAATGAGTTCGCGTATCACCTCTGACACGCGTGTCATAGGTTCGCCATCACTGTACAACCCTGTACTAATAACAAACTCATTATAAACCAGTCAACAGCTCTGATCCCTACAACGTTCAGAAAGGAAAGCAGCGGCCTACTTTAAAATAAATGCATTGTCCTCATGATCAAGTTTCATATTTCCACAAAGAGGGGCTCTGTCAAGTTTTCTTCAGCTCGGGTTCGCAGGCCCTCTGCCCGGGAGACCAGCACCACTGCAGGCTCACGCCTCCCACCCTGTGTCCATGCTCCAGGCACCCGTCTGCTTCTCCCCCCAGCGGCCCGGATTTCCACTTCCCTCGGCCCCAACTCAGCCCTCAAGCCAGCGCTGGGCCCGGAAGAGTCCAGCTGTTTGGACACCACCCAGGGGAAACGTTGATGAGAGCCAAAGGGAAAAAATTCACTCACCCTATTTAATTAATTATTTTCATTGAATATAATTTTGTACCTGTATGTTTCACTTGGTTCAATGTCAAGGCAACTCCTTACAACTCTAGGCTTCTGTTGGAGAAGAATTTTAGGTTTCTCTTCTAAATTACTTTATTTTAAAACGATCATCAACCATAATGTTTATCACGAAGGAACCGCAAGGCAAACGGGGGACATCGTCCATGGATTTGAGCTTTTCATGCTCACCAAATACAGTCTGGAGAATTATCTAAGAATGGAGTTCTAGTTTTATCATCCCAGAAAGAAAGCAACACATATACCCCACACTCCTTTATTCCTCCTACTAAAAAAATGTTGCTGCTGCTTTGGGCAAAAAAGAAGTAAAACGAGAGATGTTTGGAGCCCCTTTGAGGAAATCTAGGACGCTAGGCTGTGTGAGGCTGTTCTCGGGACAATAATGGCTCATCGCGTGGAAACCGCTCTGGATGGCTTTCCAACTATTGCCACCTGATGGCATTTTGGTTAACTGTTCCTTTGTTCTGGGGAGCCCTGAAGTGAACCTTGAGACTCAGTACCAGCAGGAAGTAACTGAAGGTCAGATGATTGCGTCTCAAACACAAATCCCAAACTGGACAACGAGGCACCCCAGGGCTTCACCTCCTTTCCAAGACTCTCACTCACTCTCTCTCTCTCTCTCTCTCTCTCTCTCTCTCTCTCTTGTCAAGTCAACAGAGCAGTTGCCTTGGTTTTTAACAAGGTCAAACAATCGCTTTCCATTAGAAATGTCACGAGGTCATTGACTGTATCTTGAAATTCTCTTCCTCCACGGATCCTTCATTAGATCTCTAAAAGTAAACTTTAACTGGCTTGCCCACTTTTAGAGGAATTGCTCATAGCAGTTAATTAGCCCGTAGTACCCGTGGGATGTGGAATATAGTTTGAGAAATAGCGTTTTAACAAAGCGTGTTTGCTCAAATATTTGCACTAGTTGTATCATGCCATTTTGAGGATAAACTTATGACAAAGGTATTACTGATACTCCAATTTAATCTGCAAATGATTTAATCTGTAAGTCACACAACATGATTGACATCGAAACCTTACCTTGCGCATCCGGGCTCTCTCCCCGGCTGTCGAGGTGAACTGTTCCTCTGAGAGGGGGGATGCTGGGATAGAGAAAATGGAAAGAGAAGTTAAGAGTGAGCATGTAACATGGTGAAAACATAGCAGCAAAGAGTTATCATTTAGTTCATCGGTTGCGGCCAACAACGCAAAAGGAAATGAAAGAAAACGCGCCTCAAAATACCCAAATTCAGTTGCTTTTACCATGGGAGAGATTAGGTCAGCCAAACAGTAGGGTTCTCAATCCATATTATTCTTGGGTGGATTTATCAGAGGGTTGTGAGTATTTAGTATAATATCAGTCCTATGAGGAGCATCCCCCCCCCCATGTGATGAGAATCACGTGTTAGCAGGAAGCCCCAGGAGCCGTGCTTCTCATGGGGTATCAATCAACAGCAATTAAAATACTGACTTTCCCAAACTTAGGTAATTTGCAGGTTTTATATCAACACGGGCTTTGTCTTAGTCAAAAGATCTGTGTTCATTTTAACAGGGTGAGCATTAAAAACAATGCCAGCACCCGGCCGGTGTGGGTCAATGGTTGAGCGTCAACCTATGAGCCAGGAGGTCACAGTTTGATTTCCAGTCAGGGTACATGCCCGGGGTTGTGGGCTCGATCCCCAGTGTAGGGTGTGCAAGAGGCAGCCGATCGATGATTCTCTCTCGTCATTGATGTTTCTATCTCTCTCTCCCTCTTCCTTCCTCTCTCTGAAAGAAAAAAATACATTAAAAAAACAAAAAACAATGCCAGGGTCAAACTTCAAAATATGTGCACCCACAAGTAATAATTGGCTTTCTTTATGTGAATTAACTATTTCTCTTTACTGTGGCTAAAGGCTAAGACAGTAAATGGATGAAGGGCAAACCCAATTCCAGAGGCTGGGACATGTGTCCCAGCTCCAGGCTGTGAGGGTCCCGTGTCAGGGGTGGGGTGGATGAAAACTGGGGGGAGGCTCATGTGGATGCTGCTACCAAGGACCTGAGACGCATGCATGATCCTTGATGGTCTCCCCCCTCCCTGAGAAACAGGTTAGAAATGACCCCGCTCCACCTTCCACCTAAGCCTTTCCCTGCACACGACTCTTCTGTGTCTGGCCATTTCAGAAATGCCTGTGGTGCTTAGTTTAAAATCAATTGTATAACAATAAGATATGTGTGGCAGGCCCAACATAAGGTGATCAATCCCAGGCATGGTTCTGGAGCTGTCACTCAGAGGAGGATTTTAAGAAAGGGAGGCCCGACCAGCATGGCTCAGTGGTTGAGCATCAACCTGGTCAGGGCACATGCCCGGATTGCCAGCTCGATCCCCAGTGGAAGGTGTGCAGGAGGCAGCTGATCAGTGATTCTCTCTCATTATTGATGTTTCCCCCCCTCTCTCCCCTCCTCTCTGAAATCAATAAAAATATATTAAAAGAAAGAAGAAAGAAAAGAAAGGGAGGGAGGAAGGAGGCATCCTCTTCCCCCTATCGAGAAAGTATAAAGTTATACTCTCTCTCTTGATAGGGAAAAGAGAAGATGGTAAGTGAAAAAAAATGCAAATAAATGGTAAGTGTTCAGAGAGTGAAAGTACAGGTGACAGCTGAGTTTTCAATGTTACACTAGTCAATAAGGGAGCTCAAAAGAATCTAATGAACAAAATAAACTGGAGAACAAAACAGATCCAGAGCCATTGAAACATGCAACAGACTGATGTATTTCAGGTGGAGGGAGGGGGTGTGGGAAGAGACTAAACAAAGAACTTATATGCATATATGCATAGCCCATGGATACACATTAGTGTGGGGAAGGCCTGGGGAGGGGGTGGGAGTGGGGGTGGGAGTGGGGTGGAAGAGGTTAAGGGGGGGGCATATTTGTAATACTTTGAACAGAGTTTTTTATTTTTATTTTTTATATTTCTTTATTGATTTCAGAGAGGAAGGGAGAGGGAGAGAGAGATAGAAACACCAATGATGAGAGAGAATCATTGATCGGCTG